ACCAAATTCAGCCGGAAATCTGGCTGTCTTCCAAGAGGAGTGAAATGTTTGAATGTAACCCATTATGCCAATCCCTGTAGACGCCATAAAATCATTAGGCGTGCCGGTGATCGATTGGCTTGATCTGATCTGATCTGATTTTCCAACTGATTTTAATATCTCCGAATGTAGCTATGTATATGTTACTGTTTTTTCATCCTCCTCAGCCTCATCCGGAACGTTCCTCAGGCCTTCATTTCCAAACCTACATAAAAATTAAAAAAATATATCTGATGCAAGGTCCGCTTTCCTTTTCACATTACAATCATTGTGCATGGTTGGTCGAGAATTGGGGTGGAACCTCTACGAAATTGTGAATTATTCATGAGAGTCCAGGACATCAGGAACGCTAAGCGTGGGCCAGAGCAGAAGGGGATTCTGGGAAATGAGAGAACTCTGAGGCCTCTGTAAGTTCCAGGAGACATCGAAAAGCAAGACAGTGGAGACACGCGAAGACATCAGAGAAATAGATGGATGAGGAGAGCGTGTAAGTGATTTGGTTATACAAACCTGAAACATTTTACTGGCAAATTCATTCACAGAAACTGCTTAACTCCTTCTGCGCCATATCTAGGGTGGACTCAATCCTTCCCAGAACTCTTCTAGATAATTCCATTCTGCTGCCATGTAGCAACAGAACTAAGGCAACCAGTGCTGGCACAAGGTCCTCTGGCAACCAAGGCGAAGATGCCAATGTATGCCAACTCTTGCTTCCCGAGCAGTGGCCGGAAATGATAGCCCTTGTCCCTGAACTCCACCTGTAGATAATTGCACTGTGGCGCCATGTAGAACCAGTACTAAGGTGCTGGCACAAGGTCCTCTGGCACCCAATGCGAAGATGCCAATGTATGCCAACTCTTCCTTCCCGAGGTGAGATGGATGGAGCTTGCACATCCACAAATAGCATGGCCAGAAATAACAACTCTCTGCGCTCTATTTATTATTAGGAGTGGTGTTGGCGATCCTAATACAAGTCAGATAGTGAACCTCCTTTGATCAGAAAATACCCAGTGTCGGCCGGTATCTGAGCCTAGAGGGAATGGCGGCACCCCTCCATCATATTGAAAGGTTCGACTCTAGCAGTTGACGGTTGAGCCCATGTACTGCATCATTGAAGAACGTCACATGATCCTGGGCATTTTATGTCATTGTGATGGAGAAGGTACGAGTTCCCCCTTTTAGCTGTTACTTTGTCTGAGCCTGACTCTTTACCTGTCAGAGGCCACCAGAAGGCTCACATTTCGTGCCTTGTCACCCGCCCGGCCTCTCCCACTGTCTCCCAGCTCCTGCAAATGCAAAATAACAGAGGCCTGTCGTTAAGAGGCATGTAAATGATTGCAGGCTGAGTTATTGGTCCCCATTATGTAGCTGGGCAGACAGTGTAAAAGGCCAGGCTGGTAACAGAGTAGCAACCATCAGTCTTCAGGTGACCTCTGACCTCTGAAGCGGTAGGCTCAAAGGAAGTAAAGATAAAGAAGAGGACGCATATACATATTTAGTAGCCGTCACAAGTACAATAATTTAAGACTGGATATTCAGATTTTTGTCTACGCATCAGGTGTGCTTCTCACAGCGACTATAGGAAAATATGCTTTACGATCATGAATTTGCATGAGACATTTTATTAATTTATGAACCTACCCGCCTCTGTGAAAGGGAACATATACCTGTAAATTTTAAAGCTTAACGGTTGGTACATTCTAAAACAGTTTTGCTTAATTAGTGTCCTTCCGCTGACAATACCTGAGCCTGGCTCAAACATCTTTCACATGGCTGCCTTATATTAATGGAAAACATGATATATAACATTTCTGCTCTGACAGGGAGAGAATACAACTAGATAACAGCACACACAGCTCTCTCTAATAGGGAAGGCTGCACTGTTATATCAATTATAATTGAACCAGTATAGAGATTAGGACTCCAGTCCAGCTTGCTGTATGCTTGCTCCAGGTCACTGCCCTGAAGAGTTTATGCCAGAGAGAGCCAAGCATCTTTAGAATGAGAGCGGCAATGGCAGCCGACTTGTCTCTTACTGTACGGGTTCTTTTAAAGCAGACCAATCCCCTCCTGCTACCCAAAGCTTCTTAACAACCCTCTTATTAAACCCAGTAGCAGCTCCAGGGACTTTAGCTGCCAGCACTGGCACAGCTATGGCTGAGTCACATGGGCGCCGTCAAAGAGCGGGACCTGTGATCGGGAGGGCTGCTGATCGCCTCTCCCTGAAGGTTGCCCTTTGTATGAGCCAACATGATTTTCCACCATGGCTGCACTCTGGTGCTGGAAACAAAAGGGAGTTATGTGTGTTATGTTATTAATAGGACAGTGGTGGTAGTGTCCACGGTATGGTAGTCCATTGCGACCAATCAGTAATCACCCTCCATTTTTCTGCCGGCTGCCATACTGGTGAGGCCTTGGTGACCCAAATCAATCAATCAATCCGCTTGAGACCCGCAGAGCATCACTCCAGGCTCATGGCCGTGTCCCGCAGAGCAGATTAAAGAATCCTCCATTGGTATGACTGTATTGAATGAGGCCACAGCAACCCATAGTAACCAATCAGCAATCACCTTCCATTGTTTTGACTGCCCTAAACTCTGCTTTACCATACTGAATGAAGCCATGGCAACCCATAGCAACCAATCCTTAATCATCCTCCATTGTTATGGCTGCCCTAAACCATATGCAATTCTGTATTGAATGAGGCCATGGTAACCCAAATCAACCAAACTTTGGTTGTCCTCCATTGGTTTTAATGCACTAGATTCTCTGCACTACCATACTGCTGAGGCCACAGGAACACATAGCAGCCAATCCCTAATCATCCTCCATTGTTATGAATGCCCCAAACCCTACGCACTTCTGTATGAATGAGGCCAGTAGCCAATAAATCATTTTCCTCCGTTGTTATTAATGCACTAAACTCTCTGTAATGCCATACTGGTGAGGCCATGGTAACCCATAGCAACCAGTCCCTAATTATCCTCCATTGTGCTAACTGCTCTAAACTCTCCGAACTGCTGTATTGAATGGCGTGATGCTAACCCATAGCAACCAATCAGCATTTATCCTCCATTGTTCTGACTGCCCTAAACTTTCTGCTCTGCCATACTGAATGAGGTTATGGTAACCGATAGCAACCAATCTCTAATCATTCTCCATTGTTATGGCTGCCCTAAACCATATGCACTTCTGTACTGAATGAGGCTGCAGTAACCCTTAGCAACCAATCCCCTATTAATCCTCCATTGCTATGGCTGCCTTAAACCCTATGCACTTCTATACTGAATGAGACCAGGGTAGCCCAAAGTAACCACTACATAATTTTCCTCCATTTTTATTAATGCACTAAACTCTCTGCACTGCCATACTGAATAACTGGTAACCCATAGCAACCAATATTTTATCATCCTCCATTGTTTTGACTGCTCTAAACTGCTGTACTTGATGGTGGCCATGGTAACCCATAGCAACCAATCCCAAATTTTCCTCCATTGTTCTGACTGCCCTAAACTCTCTGCGCTGACTTTTTGAATAAAACAATAAAAATCTTATTCCTCCCATAGATGTCTCTCAGTCTGACTTCTCTCGTATTACCCCATATAAAGTAATCAGGCTTCGTCTGCCCCCGGGCCTCGCACACAGACACCTCATTGTGTACACACATCTTGGGATTTTGGCAGGACGCGCGCCTCGCCTCACCCCGCAGGACACAATCGACAGCAAACACCGAGCTTTATTATAAAACAATTACAAAAATACAAAGCGTCATTAACCCCCTGACTGCCAGAGAGAAGCAAGGCCCTGCCAAGGACAGGCACAGGCCCCCTGCTGGAGAAACGCTCTGTCCTGAGACCTGCTCCGCTTGAGACCCGCAGAGCATCACTCCAGGCTCATGGCCGTGTCCTGCAGAGCCCTGGCAATATTAAAGAAGAACTCCAGCTAAATGAAAACAAATCAATGGCCGCTCTTAGTTGGTAACAGAGTCTATTACCCATAGCAACCAAACAGAATCCATTTTGTTCTCTTGAGGTATCAGTAAAGTTAATTCTGATTGGTCACTTCATTTTGGCTCAGTGCAATAATGGTAGCCAGACACGGCTAGAGTTTTCTTGTTGTCAGCCTGCAGGCCGACTTTGACTCTTAGGCCTCATTCACACGAGAAAAGGCCGGCCTCATTCACACGAGAAAAGGCTGGCCTCATTCACACGAGAAAAGGCCGGCACGTACAGCTCCGTGCATGGCCGTATCGGGCAGCTCCCGGGAAGGACAGGCGCTGCCTGTGATTAGTATGCAGCCCCTGTCCTTCTCTATGGGAGTGGGGGTGTCCCAGGTCGGACGCAGACAGACCCATCGCGTCTGCGTACGAGTACAGACACCCGTACGGACGTGCAGGGCGGGTGAGAGTAGGGCAACGTAGTCCCATAGAGAAGGACAGGGGCTCCGTACTAATCACACGCAGCACCTGTCCTTCCCGGGAGCTTCCCGATACGGCCGTGCACGCAGCACGGAGCTGTACGCGCCAGCCTTTTCTCGTGTGAATGAGGCCTAAACAGCGTGGATGGCTGAATCTCTGCTGCCGGCTATTGTATTAAAAAAATGACAAATCAGGGTGAAGAGCTGGACACAAATTTTCACGAGGTGGACGTGATCATTACTCAAGCCTGGTGGCAGCTCTTCACACATGGTTTAATGGTTCAACGCTACTCAGCTACTTACATTGCTTAGGAGGAGTGACCACAGAGGGGAACAACCGTTAACATTTCTGCACTTGTACCTGGCCGTTAGAGGTCTGGAGGCACCAAACAGGATCTGTTACGAGGTCATTCTTTATGCAAATTGCGATGACTGGAGTTCTCCTTTAACATCTTTCTCCATCCCAGGACCACATTACCCATAACCTTGCATCCATCTGCAGTCCGGCCCTCTAATAAACCCTGGCCATTCTGCCCCTGGGAAGCTATTGTGGGAAAGTCTCTGCACCCCGCAGTCTCTTGCACCCTATCTCAAAGTTCATCTTTAATTTTTCTGGCCGTTCTCCTCTGTTGCCGACCGGAGGGCTTCTCGGGCTCGTCTTCATTGGAGGATATCCGCGACCTGGTGGTCTCCCTTGCTCCCCTGGAGGTCTTCGTCTCCTCCTGCTCTTGCTGATTAGTGTCGCCTTTTACCAGAATCTTTGCCTGATGTCGTTCCTGGTAGAAGGAAAGAGGTGCTGAAAAGTCGGCATACAGGGTATACTCATACACATATACTCATATAGACTGGGTCCTGATATATAGACTGGGTCCTAGTGGGACTGCTATGAAGGATGCCAAGCGCCCATCAGACACGGCCCCTTGGCTACAAGCACCTGTAAAATCGCCAGGACTGACTACAGTGCATAATAAGGATCTGAGCTAATTCATTTCAGTACAGCGTTGCATGACGGAATAAACGTCAGTCAAAGTATCGCAGCGCTGAATACTGAAAAATGGCCTGGCCCGGAAGGGGGTCTAAACACCTGGTCTTGAAGTGGAACTCTTTAGTCTGCATTGGCCTTTCCTCAACCTTTTTATGCCTAAAATAATTATCAGGTCTTCTCTGCTGAAATTACTTGCCTGACTGCATTGTGCCAAGTGTAAAGTTTGGTGGAGGGGGGATTGTGGTGTTGGGTTGTTTTTCATGGGTTGGGCTTGGCCCCTTAGTTCCAGTGAACTAAGGCGTCAGCATGGAGCCAAACACACACTGGTGTCCGTGGAATACAGATGTCTCTAGGGAACGCCACAGATGGGATTTCTGCCCCAGGCCCTGAGAGCTGTATGTAGGGAGCGAGACAGTTAGGTGCTCCCCCTCACCAAGAAGTTTCAGCTTTTACTTGGGACTCTGGTTACTGAACGGGGAGTGAGGGAGTACAGGCTCCTTTCCACACTTGCTCTTTAGGAAACCAGATACTTTCCTCTGAATGGGTAGTACAAGTAGAGGTTTGTGTGGGACAGTTCTACTAAACACCCGTGGCCTGTGCTCTAATTCTCACCAAGAATCAAACTGAGGAGCGAAAACAAGGGACGTGCCTCCTAAAAAGGGAAGCCTGATGATTTTTTTTTTTTATTCACACGCGTGAAGGCTTGTGTACCTCTGACCCACAAAATGGCAGCTGGTATTATCTGTGAGCGACATTTACGACGGATCAGGGCAGAAATGCACCTTGAAGCAAAATATGAACTCTCCCACCACTTCACTACCCCTCGAGTTTTTAGCTTTTGTACCGCCAGCCAGCATTTCCCGAACGCAGCTGTGTAAATGACTCCAATTATCTCTACCATCTTCAAGTGCACGGACAATTACTGCAAGCTGTTCTAAGCTTCACAATAACACATCTGCCTGAGTGGAAAATGGTACGATAACAACAACAAAAATTGTTCAAAATGGCCTCCCCTCTTCATGAGCGTCTTGGTTTCTACCCCATGCAGTCCACCATTACTCATGACAAGTGATTGCATTAAAACCTGCCTAGTGTGGAAACAAGCAACCTTATCTTTTAACTATCAAGATGTTCAGGGAACAACTGGATAAACTGTAATTCAAGTTTTAAAAAAGCATAGTATATCTAGAAAAAAAACTCTAAAAGGAGCTTTAACATGTTAATGTCAATTAAAAAAAATATTTTTAAACTAGCTATTGTTAGACTACCTGGTGATGAGGCCACCAGGCTCCTTGTTCAGATACTTCCTTATAAAGTAGAACTATGACCTCCCATTAAAAAGAAAAATATGTGCTGCTGCACCTAATTATAAATGCATCTGCACGGTTATTTCTTGCTCCGCTGGCAAAGTCCTCCAAATACCTGTTAATCCTGCCAGGAAAGTCCACTAACACACCTCCCTGTGATGGGGTCAGTCAGTCACAGTCAGAGCGACTCACACCAGGTGGCGTCACAGACCGTGCAAACACAGGAAAGTCAGGAAATCACCAGCACTCAGTAGTAAAGATAAATATGGCCCTTTTATTGGAGAGAAAGCGTCACAGACATCCAAATAAACCGACGTTTCGGGGCCGCGCAGGGTCCCTTCCTAAGGCCCCATTTACACTTGGCGATTCGCAAATCGCTCGTTTGTCGCGCGATTTGCATTTTGCGCGATATCGCGCAAATGCTTGCATTGAAAAGCATTGAATTGCGGCAAAATCCGCTCCAAAAAGGGTCCTGCTGTAGCGACACACGACCCGCGACAGCAGGACCCTTTGCCCCATTGCCAAGCATTGGAGAGCGATATCGCGCGGTAAATAGCCGCGATATCGCGGGAATTACCGCGCGATAAATCGCTCAGTGTGAACGGGGCCTAAAGTCACATCTTTCTGCCTTGAGGAAGGGACCCTGCGCGGCCCCGAAACATCGGTTTATTTGGATGTCTGTGATGCTTTCTGTCCAATAAAAGGGACATATTTATCTTTACTACTGAGTGCTGGTGATTTCCTGACTTTCCTGTGTGTGCACGGCGCCATCCGTGGTAATTCATCACTGCGAGCACCACTTTTCTCTTATCTGGCCGGGACTGCTGTGGGGAGTGCGGAGGGTCTCTCCATCGACTCACACCAGGTGGCAGCATCAGAGGGGATGACACCAAAATGACCGACAGTCAATAACCCCTCCACTCTTTCCCGGCGTCCATCACCAAGATGGCCAGCGGCAGTGAAGCACATTACTGTGCATGCATGATGACGTCACACCACGGATGTCATAAGGTATGCGAGGTGGCCGCCCCGCGTGACACCCACCCTGGTGCCACCGCTGGATAAGGTGGTAACAATGCTACACTGCTTATAAAATCAGAGCAGAGTTGCCTCTCTCATGTAGGTTGTACCTGCTTGCACTACAGTGGGATGAGAGGATCAGGGCCGGCCTTAGGCCTTTAGGCGCCCTGTGCGAGAAAGCTTTACAGCGCCCCTTGGTGACCACACCCCTCAGTGGCCACACCCTTTAGTGGCCACACCCCCAGTAACCACACCCATTTATCACCCATACTTTTGGTAAAATATAAAAAAACGGGGTCACGTCGGGTAAATAGACACCAAACATGTCATGCTTTAAAATTGCGCGCACCCGCAAGATCGCAAAAAATTACCATGCCCAAAATTGACCATAGGTGACGCTTTTAGCGGTGAGGGGGAGAGAAGCCGCCCCCAGGACGAGCTGTGTCGGCCGCACGGCGCCCTTGTTGCCATGGCGCCCTGTGCGGCCGCACTGCTCGCACACCCCTAAGGCCGGCCCTGGAGAGGATGTTGCAAGGGGGAGTTGCTATCAGTATAGTCACTGCTGATTCGTGAGCCTGTACAGTGTCAATCAACACCTAGTCCCGCCCACTGCTTTCTGGATTGGAAGCACTGCCTCTGTTACTGAACTCCTCCCACTCTGAGCTGCAGTGTCTGGGAGAGGGAGCTGTGAGACACAAATGCAGGAGGATTTGACTCAGCCAGAGACGTGGAGGAAGCTTTTTGTCTACTTTATGAATCTTGAGCATCACATAAAGGGTTATTCACAAAAGGGTGAAGAGTTTGGAGAAGGCAGGAGAAGGGAACAATCTACGACAACATAGCTGATTTGGAAAAATTCTCCAATTCAGCTCACATTCCAGTTCAGCGATGTTGTCCTAGATTGTTCCCTTCTCCTGCCTTCTCCAAACTCTGCACCCTTTTGTAAATAGACCTGATAGTATCTGGATTTGGTTGTTGTTTAAACTGCTTTTACATGGGAGCTTTTAGTTGTACTTTAAAGGAGAACTATGAGGCGAGTGCTTTTCACTCACCTCATAGTTCTAGCCGACCTGTGACAATGAGACTGTCACAGGTCAGCTCAGTAGATCGGGAGGTGAGCGAACACATACCGGGTTCGCTCACCTCTCAATCCTGTCACGGCTCTCTGCCGTGACAGGGGAGGGGCTGGATTCCCCTCTCCCCGCTCCGATCTGCCAGCGCTGACTGGCGGAACGGACGGGGGAGGGGGCGGGTACAGCTGGCTCTGCCTCTAGATAGGCAGAGCCAGCTGTCACTCACGCAGCTGGGCGGATCTCGACATCGATGTCGGGATCCGCTCCGGCGTCTCAGTATACCGTGAGCTATACTGAGCCTAGGGTGACGGGTGGACGCTAGTTTGTGTCCTCCCGTTACCCTAAGGAGAACTATGGGGAAAAGCCCTGACCCCATAGTTCTCCTTTAAGGTGCGACAACTGGCTCCTGTGTTGTCACCTGCTCCTAGTGAAGACTACAAGCGGCCATGTTAGCAGACATTGCACAGGCACAGTCCACTGTTGGCACACTCAGGAAGTCGGGTCAGAGTAATAATGAGTAGCTAACGGTGCAGAGTGCATTTAGACAGGAAGTGGCTCAAAGAGGCTGGAAGAGATCAGCAGCTATGAGATGGTAAAAAGGTTAAAACAGAATAAGAAAAGAAAATAAAAGCATGGCAATTGTCTAAGATACACAGTGCTTCAGCAAAGTAAATTTCATTCAGTGAGCATCAACATCTATTTTAAAATGAGCCCACTGAACTATTTCCAGGAAGGAGGGAAGAGAAAAATAGAATGTTAGTAATGAAAGGGATCTATACAGATACATAATTCCGAGGATGAAAAAACAAGAGATATTCAGATAACAGAACAGGTCAGACAAATATGTTCCAAGTCTGATGGTATTTCTTTCTATCTGTTTCCAGTGTTACCTGCTCTGCGTGTTCTGCTGACTCCGTGAACCACAGCGCTATGGCGCACCCTCTACCCCGAGTCACTGCCCGGACCCCGTGGGCATTTTCACCTCCAGAGCTGTACATTACCAAGCGGCCACACTGAGGCCGGACCTCCGCCTGTGCACACAGAAAATACAACACCAATCAGAATAGGAAACGTAGCTCGTTCATCAGCAAGAATGGTCATTAAAGGGCCAGTCCACCCATAAATTATATTTAGGTGAAGGCTGTTGGGCTGCATCACCTACTGGTCTCTTGTTCCTCTTTGAGATCCCAGTGATGATATCTCTTTGAGAAAATGTCCAACTTTGTTCCACATACACCACGGAATATTGGGTGTTCCCGCCCACCTTTGAGTATTCCGGCTCCTCCTCTTTCATTTTCCGCGGTACAATTAAAATAAAAAAATTCAGGAGGAGTGGGTCCTTCTTGTAAGGATCACAGCAGGTTGTAGAAAAATTTAACAGCCGGCATCCTCGTGAAATATAAGAAACTGACTCTGGACCAAAAACTGCTAAATTCTTTTTTTGGTGGACTGACCCTTTAAATGTCTGATGGAAGAGAAAAATGTACTCCGGGTAAAAAAATTAATCCTTGCATTGGGGCTACCCCAGCACTGTAAGGGTTAAGTGCTCGTTTTTTCACTAGGGTCAAAAATAAAAAACGTAATGCTCACCTGATCCCCCAAGCTGGCCGACTCTTAAAGTGGACCCCTCTCCCCCCTCCTCAGCAGTAGTGTATAGGATGTTAGGACATACCATCACTGCAGTGGAGAAGGAGAGGACTGTCACAGTCGGTCGGCTCGGAGGATCGGGTGAGTATAACTTTGTTATTTTTGACCACAGGCTGAAAGGAGCACTTAACCCTGGCAGTGCGGGGGTAGCCCCACTGCAAGGGTTAACAAAAATTTTACCCAGAATATTTCGGCTAATGGTAATATTTTGTGGTTTTAAAGTGAAGGTCCAATGCTGTGCAACTACTGTCACAATTCTATAATTGTCCCCGCTGACTGTAGTTCACAGCTCTGGATCTCCACACGTTTAAAAGTCACAATCATATAATATAATTGTGCACACGCTTACACCACCACCCTCTGTGCCTGAGGGATGTGATTATCCAGATACCATTAATTGTATGAGGGGTGAGCTGATGGTGGAATGAGGAACTGAATGTATAATCTTACTGGTAATAAAATGAATTGTTTTAGAAATACGTTGATCATATTCGAATGTACCTAAAAAGTCCCCCCCAAAAAAACAGTATGTAAAATGTGATTATTTAGCACTGAACACCTCCTTTAAAAAAAATCCAACAAAATGTTTTTTTTAAAAATACTTTGAAAAATATTCTGATACTAAAACTGACTCTTCGCTACATTTTATTTCAGTCTACGGAAATTTAGCAATCGGCCAAGACAAAATGAGTTCCACTGCAAAAGTAAACCAGACAGCACCTCCTACATGCAGCAAGGTGGTACTACACTTCATGTACAATGAACATACTGTACACTGGGCAAGAAAAAAAAAAAGTCACACACTCTAATATTTAATTGGCCCGCCTTTAGCTTTCATTACGGCATGCATTGGCCATGGCATCATTTCGATAAGCTTATGCAATGTCACAACATTTATTTCCATCCAGAGTCGCATTCATTTTTCACCAAGATCTTGTAGTGATGATGGGAGAGTCGGAGGACCGTGTAAAGTCTTCTCCAGCACATCCCAAAGATTCTCAATGGGGTTAAGGTCTGGACTCTGTGGTGGCCAATCCATGTGTGCAAATGATGTCTCATGCTCCCTGAACCACTCTTTCACAATCTGAGCCCGATGAATCCTGGCATTGTCCTCTTGGAATATGCCCAATGTGCCATCAGGGAAGAAAAATTAAATTGATGGAAAAACCTGGTCATTCTGAATATTCAGGTAGACAGCTGACCTCCTCCTCTCATCATTTTGCTGAACCTAGGCCTGACCTCGTATAAATGTATTCCTCTGTTGGTCAATATCCACATCTGTGTGCTAGAGTACTTTAACCTTTCCTGTCCAGCCGTAAATTGTAATTGAACAGCCGGACGGGTCACTCTTGAATGCGGGTAGGCGTTTTTAAACATCTTTTTTCCTTCTTCTGCTCATAGGTGCCACCCCACATGTGCACATGAGTGGGAAACTGTCAGCATTTTAAACAGCTGGCGATGGCTGTATACATACAAGCATTCGGGCAGGCCCCCACCTCCGCCGCTGGCTATCCCAGGCTCTGCTGTCCCCCCTGCGGGACCGGGACCAGCACGGCGGCTCTCTGAACTGAGATGTAAGCAGAATCATTCCTACTAGGACATTAATAAAAGGCACATTGCATCAGTTAGAGGTTTTAAAATCTCCCCACTACATTTATAAAAAAAAAGCTTTGGTTGGTTTAAAGCAACATTGGCAAGAACTCAAAACTGGGTTCATTCCCACTTACCGTGACTGTTGTGCCATCCAGCTCTGTAAAGAAGAGATCTCCTCCTTGAAAGTCATCATTCAAGTAAAGCATCGCACTACAGGAAAGATCAGACATTTGTAAAAGTTAATTAAATCACAGCACTGGACATGTGATCTCAACCAAAGAAGGGGGGGGGGGGGTTGTGTTTAGGCAGAGCTGTTCAATATCTGTCTCCTCACCTCTTTGGCTAAGAACACATGACCTATTTCTCAACATGGACAGCTTCCACCAATGCAATATATGGCCAAAGATTGTGGCCAGCAGACAATCACACCTAGCACTATATGGCCAAAAGCATGTGGACACCCCTTCAAATTATTGGGTTGAGGCAACTGCAGTGTTAATGCTTCAGCGTACAGACATTTTGGACCGCTGTGCACTTCCAACCTTCTGGCAACAGTTTGGTGAAGGCCATTTTGCGTTCCAGCAGGACTGTGCTGTGTACAAAGCCAGCTCCATAAAGAGGTTTGATGAGTTTGGTGTGGAGGAACTTGAGTGGCCTTTACAGAGACCTGACCTCAGCTCTACTGAACACCTTTGGGATGATTTGGAATGCCTATAGTGAGCCAGATCTTCTCACCCAACATCAGAATCTGACCCCACAAATTATCTTTTGGCTGAATGGGCCCACATTCCCGCAGACACCCTCCAACATCTTGTGGAAAAGCCATTTCAGAAAATCAGAGGCCGTTATAGCCCCCAAAGGGGGTGGAAAGCTCCATATTAACAAACATGGTCTTGGAATAGAATGTCCAACAGGTTCATATAGGTGTGGTAGTCAGATGTCCTCAAACTTTGGCTATATACAAGTATAATTTACAGGAAGTGCTGTAGAAGTATTATAATTGGCCCCAGAAACCCACCTGTAGTCTCTGTGGATGTACGCAGGTGTCTCTTTCCAGCACGCTTTCTCCTCAGTGTCCAGGATACAGTTATCAGCATGAACAGGGTGACTGACGTCCGTGCGACCCTCCTGCTCTCCTAAAACAGACAGTCACAGATTAGGAAACTTAACAATCATATATAAGGTCCTTCCTGACTTGAAGGGTCAGTGCACCCAAAAGATAAAGGTGGAGTAGCCCGTTGGTTTCTTTCACACACATACAATCTTTGTTATAAAATGTAATAAATGAAAAGGCTTCTATGAGCACTATGGGTTAGCTAAAGAGACACCACAGCACAGCACAGTACTTCCATTTTAGGTGCTCTGTCTCTCACTGATGTCAAGGAAAGCACACATTCCCCCTTACGAATACTTGACAGCTGCTACAATTGACCAGCCAGCTATATTTACCTTCAATGGCAGTCCGACACACCAGCTGACTATAGGAGAAATGCAGAGGCTTTGTTTCAAAATAAGTCTGTGCCAGGACACGAGCTCGCTCACCGGAATAATAGAAAAGGTGGGCCTGGGTGGTGTCCACTGCTCTTGCTGATGCCATCTAGACCCAAACATGACAATAAAATAACTTTAATACAAACACAATATTATCAATAATTAGTATTACTGAAAAACACCCCCAACATCTTATATCCTCAACAGTAATATCTCTCTGCTAGATATGCTGACTTTTCCTGGACATTTTGGGTGATCCCACCCACCTTTGTGTGTTCCAGCTCCTCCTGTTACACTCTCCATAATATAAAATAAATACAAATCCAGCAGGGATGGTGGGGACTCCTCATAATGGGCACAGCAGGTGTACAGACCCGGGAACTCAGCACAGGGATGGTGGGAAATCATCATAATGGGCACAGCAAATGTACAGACCTGGGAACTCAATGCATGGATGGTGAGAGCCCCTCATAATGGGCACAGCAGGTGTACAGACCCAGGAACTCAGGTGAAGGATGGTTGGAAATCCTCGTAATGGGCACAGGAGCTGTGCTGATTCAGGAACTTAGAGCAGTGAACTCACCAGTAGAGTTATGGGGTTTACCTCTTCAATATCACCCACAAAGTGAAATTTCAGGTTTAGGTAGAGTGCCCCTTTGCAACTCAAAGTGGTTCCTCTATGTTTAGTGCAATGCATAGCGTGCTAACCTGTAGTGCTCGCAGTACAGTCAGGCTCTGGATCTTCTCGCTATGAGTGTGAGGTGACCGTCTACCTCTGAACCCATCCCCAGAAGCTTCAGCTTCCTGAAAAAAATGGAAGCAAAGTAAAGTAGCAAATGTTAAAGGCTCATCTCTTTCCACACCAAGCCATGTTCAACCCATCCCCCCCCCCAATGTGCCATCACACACTCAATACACACTCCCTTTTACTTCTCCACTCACCTGAACTAGACTGAGCAGACTCTCACACTCATCCTTACTGAGGACACCATCCAGAGTGACCCTGGCTGTTCCATTCATCTGTCTTGGGCTAAGTGTCACAGATACCTCCTCATAAGGCAGGTCTCCTGGGGAAGAAAAGAGGACACATGACCACATCCTCCTGGCCTCCACACCAGGACACTAGAGGTCCTACACCACATGCCCATCTCTTCCTACTGTGGTAACAGGTTCTCCACCACATAATCCTGATACATAGACTATGGGCAAAGAGAACAGGAGCAATAGCTGGCCAGACCATTTCATAGGTTCATCTTAATTAATTGGTTCAATCTAAATTCATTGGCTGCTATGAGAAACTTTTTACAGCTTTTCTTTTTTTGACCCGTCCCCCGGCTTCCTGACCGCCTGTGAAGCTGGCGTTCTAGCGAAAGAACACCGGCTTCACTTGCTGAGGCTGCCTGGCTTCCTGACCAATCAGGAAGCCGGGTGGTGGGTCATGAGGTGCCTTCCGGCTTCCTGATTGGTCAGGAAGCCAGGCTGCCTAGCAACAAGTGAAGCTGGCTTTCTAGCCAATCATGAAGCCGGGCGGCACATCATGACCCGCCTCCTGGCTTCCTGATTGACTAGGATACCCACGTCGCTTGTTGCTAGGCAGCGTGGCTTCCTGACCCATCAGGAAGCTGGGGCGCGAGTCATAATGTGCCGCCCGGCTTCCTAAATGATCGGGAAGCAAGGCTGCTTACCAACAAGTGAAACTGGCTTCCTAGCCATTCAGGAAGCAGGGCGATACGTCATTACGTGCCGCCAGGCCGGCCCCAGAGATCTCCCTCTGACTGGAAGTTCCGGTATCGGAGCATTTGGGGGAGTACTAATACCAATACTAGTATCGGTATCAGTGCATCCCTACACAACATCATTATCAATATACACATTTATTTATGGGTGGTCGGTGATGTTATAGGTGGGGTGATGTTCTCGATGAAGAGTATCAAGTATGTGACTTTAATTGGAAAATAAATAAAGAATATAATTTTTATTAATTTATGAACGTATTATTGGATACCTAAAAAGTCCATCTTTTCGCATGTTTTTCTTATATACATATATATGGCTGTATAAAAAAAAAAAACACTGCGCTATCTGGTCATTTATTTATGACCCTCTGGATCCCAATGACCTATAGTACCATCTAGGCCACCCGGCTTCCCGATTAACAAAAAAGTCCCCATTTTGTATAATTGTCACTAAGTATATGCACTTAGAGTTTTATAATATTAGAGATAGCACAGTGTTTTTTGTTTAATATAATGTGGGAGAAGTTTATATAGCTTCTCTCTATCTCTGCAGCTGTCAATAGGGTGTTATTGAGGAGTTTGGGGTAGAGCACTATAGCGCGGATAATCATTTGCTTTGATATATATGGCTGTGGTCGCTGTAAGTGGTATACTATCCTGATTTTAGATGTAAATAAATATATTACTGCATCATGTGACACGTTCTTAAAAGTTACAGCTCCCTATTGCTATCCCGACATCATACTCACTCCCAGCCTCCTCTGCTGCTGCTTTCTCTTTCCTAGATGATAAAAGAAAATGTGTCATTGATACAATTAATTATTCGATGAACCAAATTATAATGAGAGAGACACTTTGTTGACTATTCTGCATTATATGAAAACATGACCCACCATGCCATGGAAATCCCATTTACCAATCAATAGAAATATTAAAAAAATGCACAATATCTAATCAAATACCTAGAAATGTGCTTAGAGTGGGCACAGATGGGACCACCTGACTTGAGCACCAATATTTTTTGGCTTGCAGGTCAGTGACCAGTCTTTTGCTTGCTTTAGGTTTTACCACCAACGTCTATCTAAAGCAAAATATTAAAGTATATCTAAAGCCAATCTGAGTAAAGTAGGGAAGGGTTAAGTCTCCCATCATTCTTTCTCGTTCAGGAAGAGAAAGTTACCATGAAGAGCGCCAAAAAAAAAAATTAGTTCACGGAAATGTTGAGAGTTCATCAAATAATAAAAAAAACAGCCAACATGTTTCGGAGGTCTGAACACTCCCTCTTCGTCAGGGCTTGGATGTTGTGTATATTCTTCTAAGGACTCAAATAACACAACTGAACTATGAAGTTTGTGTGAGCGATGCGGTGTCTGGATCCAGCAACAAGATTGCACAATGTCCAAGCCCTGATATAGAAGAGTGTTCAGACCCCCAAAACACATTGGATTTTTTTTTTAATTGTTTCCTTGGGTTTGGCGTTCTTCCTGCTGTCTTTCTCTTTCCATGATCTGATTTTGGTTACCCCAGTTAGGATGACCTTGTCTGACAAGACGGGTGATGTTGCCTTGTATAAAGTGGATTCTCACCTGACTCTGTCCCGTAGACTCTCTGGGATAATATCTTCTGGCGTCCAAAGATCCTGCAGCACAAATCAAGAATAAAAGACATAAGTTAGTCTATGGGAACTATGTATAACTCTTCCGCCCAGCCATATGCTAGGTGAATGCTGTTTGTATGGCATTCCCACCACTAGATGGAGCCCATGCTACAAGACCAGTCACCCTGCACAAGGAGAGAGGAGAGCAGCAGTGACTGATCTTTATTACGGGAGGCAGAGACAAGACCAATCACCCTGCACAAGGAGAGAGAGAACATCAGTGACCGGCCTTTATTATGGGGGGGAGTGAGGGGTGGAGACAAGACCAGTCACCCTGCACAAGGGGAGAGGGCAGCAGAGACCGGTCTTTATTACAGGAAGTCTCACACCGAGATTCAAAGAATACAAATGGCTCTTGTATGAGGACAATACTTGTTTACCCCAGAGATCGGCTTTAGGCAGAAAGAGAAACAGATGGAAAGGAGAACTTCTTAAAGGGGCAGTGAGGGTGGGGAGACGGGCAATTATGATTTTCTTCCTTAATACAAATATGTAGTGTACCCAGAATCGATAAATGGGGGGGGGGCTATGTTAGATAGATCTCTGCATGTTTTCCTATCTCCACCTACCTGCCAGCTCATAAAAGTGGGATTTACTGCCCTTGTTTACATCTTTCAGTAATTTCACCTAATGAAGAATATGATAGGTGGAAAATGTTTGGCCTTCTAATGTTGCGGACGGTGGAACTGGGAAATCTGAGGATTCAGTCCATTGGCATCCACCTACAACTAAAACATCAGACCAGACCTGACCTGACCAGATAAGTGGTCCAAAATCCTGGAGCTTCAGAGAATAACGAACGGACAAATACACAACCCTTAGCCATCGTCATGTCCACCCACACAGAAAAAAGGATCACCTGATCTTGGAATGTGATGTCCAGGTTCTCCATTGCATAATACAATAGTTTCTTCTCTGCCAGAGTCTGACGCACAAGTGACGCAATGCTCTTCCCTTACTATTTATTTATTTATTTTTATTTTTAGTGTATATTAGGGATTATATAAGATTAATTACGACACTGTAAGTAGCAGAAATTACACAAATACACAAAAATTGTTGGAAAGTTTTTACAATATATGGCCAACCCCTCCAAATGATTGAGTTCAGGTGATTTCAGTGAAGGGTTCTGTTAATGCTACAACATACAAAGACATTTTAGACAATTAAGTACTTCCAACCTTCCAACAGTTGAGTATTTCCAACCTTCCAACAGTTTGGTGAAGGTCCTTTTCTGTTCCACTATGACTGTGCCCTGTGTACAAATCCTGCTCCATAAAGATGTAGTTTGATGAGTTTGGTGTGCAGGAACTCGAGTGGCAGAGCCATTCAATCTTTGTCTCACACCCTTTTGGCTAAGGACACATGACCTCTATATCAACACTGTCAAAATGGACTGTTTCCACCAATACAATATATGGCCAAAAGATTGTGACCAGCAGACAATCACAACCACCACTATTTGGCCAAAGGTATGTGGACACCCCTCTAAATTATGGGGTTGAGGGAACTGCAGTGTACAAAGTATGGTATGAGTTGGAACGCACATTGTGAGCCAGATCTTCTCACCCAACATCAGTACCTGACTTCACAAATATTTTTAGGGATAAATGGGCCCACATTCCCACCTATCCGCTCATTTGAATTACCCCAATTAGAAAAAGGAAAGCTGTAATCTGATTGGATAACTCACATTTCTTATTCCAGACCATCTAATAAATGGAACCTATTATGATCACTGCATGGTAAAGCTCATTTCTTTTCACAGGTTTGTTTTGCCTTCAGATGTTTTTGGCCTGTTGCATAGGAAGTTACCTCTCGTGGTTTTCCGCCAGCCTTTCCTCCAAGCTTGTTGTCATAGATCTGTAGTTTCTTTACAAGGGATTCGTTACGAGGGTGGAAGAGCAATAACGATCGGGCGGTCTCTGCAGCAGACTCCCATTCCCGAACTACAGCCAGCGAAATTAAAGGGACATTAAATCGGTTTGGATCAAACTAATAAACAATTGCACCAAATTTCTCAAACAATATTTGTTTGCTGCCTTGCTGAATAAAAGTGCAGGACAAACCAGCTCGGACTGTTCCTGGGTGTCTATCATTTCATAATATACACTATATTGCCAAAAGTATTGGGACGCCCCTCCAAATCATTGGATTAAGGTGTTCCGTGAAATTTCCTTGCTACTAAATATTCCGCGGTCACCTGTTAGCGGTATTATAACAAAGTGGAAGCACCTGGGAACAACAGCAACTCAGCCATGAAGTAATCGGCCACGTAAAATGACAGAGCGTGGTCAGCGCATGCTGAAGCGCACAGTGCGCAGAAGTCGCCAACTGTCTGCAGAGTCAATAGCTGCAGACCTCCAAACTTCGTGTGGCCTTCAGATTGGCACAACAACAGTGCGTAGAGAGCTTCATGGAATGGGTTTCCATGGCCGAGCAGCTGCATCCAAGCCTTACATCACCAAGTGCAATGCAAAGCGTGGGATGCCGTGGTGTAAAGCACGCCGCCACTGGACTCTAGAGAAGTGGAGACGTGTTCTCTGGAGTGACCAATCACGCTTCTCTGTTTGGCAATCCGATGGACGTGTCTGAGTTTGGCGGTTGCCAGGAGAACGGTACTTGCCTGACTGCATTGTGCCAAGTGTAAAGTTTGGTGGAGGGGGGATTATGGGGTGTGGTTGTTTTTCAGGGGTTGGGCTTGGCCCCTTAGTTCCAGTGAAGGGAACTCTTAAGGCATCAGCATACCAAGACATTTTGGACAATTTCATGCTCCTAACTTTGTGGGAACAGTTTGGGGATGGCCCCTTCCTGTTCCAATATGACTGCGCACCAGTGCACAAAGCAAGGTCCATAAAGACATGGATGGTGGAGTTTGGGGTGGAGGAACTTGACTGGCCTGCACAGAGTCCTGACCTCAACCCGATAGAACACCTTTGGGATGAATTAGAGCGGAGACTGCGAGCCCGGCCTTCTCGTCCAACATCAGTACCTGACCTCACAAATGGTCCAACATTCCCATAGACACACTCCTAAACCTTGTGGACGCCTTCCCAGAAGAGTTGAAGCTGTTATAGCGGCAAAGGGCGGACCAACTCAATATCCAACCCTACGGACTAAGACTGGGATGCCATTAAAGTTCATGTGCGTGTAGCCACGTCCCAATACTTTTGGTAACATAGTGTATGTATGTATATATGTACACATGTATACTGTATATCTACTGGAGTACAACCTTACACATTTACAACATTTACAATGGATATGACCATAAAGTTCTAAATACCATATCTGTATGTTATATAACTATATCAGTTATAAAGTCTCCTTGTATTGTTAGCAATCGGCTGTGAAATAAGGGGTTATGCTAAGTGTTCAGGCAATTCAATAAGATCGATACAATTGCTTGGCCTACAGTATTCCCATGAAATTTAAAGGACGTGTATAAGACATTCTTATGCCCATGGAAGCCTTTTATTAGGTGGTAAAATTATCTACAAAGTAGATATTGATGGGTTCCCCTTTACTATTTAAACAATGCCACCACTTATGCATGGTTAAAAGTGACTTACGTTGGTCGTAGGTGTCGTGCAGAGATTGCAGATGAGACACAATGAAATCTTGCGTTGGGCGCTTGCTTCCTGGCACCAAGGTAAGATCTAGAATACAGCGCTGCTTACATTGTAACACCTGCGTGTAATAATCTGCAAAAGAGAAATAAAGGACATGAACCAATATATATAAGTGTGTATACACATATACATATATATATATATATGAGAGAGAGAGAGAGAGAGAGAGAGAGAGAGAG